AAAATGCATGGATGACGTAGTCACTGAAGCTGCTATTTTGCTGTAAAAGGTGCTGAATAACACAGACTATACTCCACTGTTTGTGGTTTGTCTTAAAAACAGGAGTCATTCCATATTTAGCTTTTTAATTTCCAGTTCTAACTATGAATTAGCATTTGGCCCCTTTTCTTCACCGTGGTACAAACGTTTGTCAATGTGTCAAACATCTGTTTGCCCATGGTTTTCTTCTCGTCTGTTTCTTATTTTTACTTCCTGAAAGTGAAATGTCCAGCTAGAAATCAAATGATTCTTATTAAAAAAAACCTCACGGGTAACTCTGACCATCAAAGCAAAACAAATTGAAAGTGCAAAAGCTTGAAATAGTTATTGCATTAATAATGTAAGGACATTCCCAACTTAAATAAAGAAAACTACAAAAAGTAAAGCTGTTGAATGGTCTTAATTTAACAATGTAAATCCCTTCTAAGCAAATTAATGGAAAGCATCCCACTGCTTCTTCATACTTTTGCCATTTTGACTGTGCCATAACATGTTAAATGCAGGAATGGAAGTGTCATATCAGAGCTTTTATTTTTCCAGTTTGGACACGAGTGCATATGATGATGAATGATACTACATGATGACAGAAGTAGTAATAATGTTAATGACTAGTTTGGAACATGAAAGCTGCCAGAGAACCTGCAGTGGCTTTAAGATCTTGTGTTCATTCTGGCAAACCTTGAACTGCTTATCACACTGTGTATTAAAAGGGATACTTTTTTTCCTTCATATGGATAAGTCCCTTTCATGGTGAAAGGTTTCACCTGGCATACAGAACACTTTTTATACTTATTTTGCTCGGATTAGCAGAGATATTGTGGGTAAATGCTGTGTTGGAAGTCATAGGTTTGATTAAAATGCTATGAAGGATTTAGGGAACATGTTAAATGTGTATTCCAATCCATGTGCGTTTGGACTTACTACTGTTTAAAGAGATCATATGTTGTATGATTGTAATGTTATTAATCTTGTACTAGTGTGTTGCTGCCATGGAATAATACTGTATTTCCAGGTTGTCATTTTTAATGTTATGCACACATAAATACCAGTGCAAAAGGCATGCATGCCTTAATCTTTGGGGGTAAAATGTAACTTTTTACTTAATTAACAATTGTCGCTTTTTGCTTCAGATTTGGTATCGACTAAGAAATTGTTTTATTCAAAAACAGCACTTTTAAATGCAACCACTATATAGAGCGTACAGATTTTGAAAGTATTGCTTTGTAAACATAGGCCCTATGAGTTTGGGGTGTTGGCTAGACCGATTTCTAAAATGTCTAGTTGCAATTTTAAACTAGGTTGCTGTATAATCTAATGTGCTCCACTGAGGACTACGTTCTCTTTGTGCCAATTTAAAGACTGAACATACAAGCCTGCACACATTCAGGTGGCACTGTTGGCGGCAATTCAGCGCTTCCTCTTTGCCATGATGTAAATGTGTTAAATGCTATTAATAGGTTGAATTTCCCGAAACATTTTTGTGGAGACATGTCACCTTTTTAATTTTGAAATAAATGTAATTTAAAAAAATCTATCATTGTATGTTAATAAAACTTTCATTTTCTAAAAAAAAGGTGTAACATTTTCTAGTCCTCTAAACTCTGCCTGTGAGTATGGAGCCCCTTGGCCAGGGTGTGTGGGAACAGCTGACGAATTTGAGGATTAGTTCAAGGAAGCTGAGCCAATTAATGATTTGGAAGGTTTACTGCATTTTCTTCTTGGGTCCCCATTTCGCATCCGAGATCGTTCTTCTTTGGACAAAAACTTCTTAAAATCTTCTTTAGGTAATGCTGTTAGACTCCATCTTGTATCTCAATAGACATGAAATCTTCTACACTCGACGGTTATGGTCTATCGTATCTGTATTTTAATACAGATATATGTGTATATATTTGTACGTTTATGTGTATTTTTCCGTATCGCTAACATCAGCCCATGTGTTGTGGGTGCTTCTGATCTAGACTTCTCTATAAATCCCCGAGAAGTGAGTCTGAAATGGCAATGTGTCCCTTTGACATGAAATAAGTGACGTATTTTAAATCCAATCTGAAATTATTAAGGGGTATTTTTATTGAATGTTTGCGGGGCCCCTCACCGTAACTTTTATCAACACGCTTCTAAGAAATCATAGCCCACGCTTGAACAAAATAAACTGCGGGGACGCTTTTAAGAGAATGCAGTCCATCCTCCTCCTCTGCCTTTGTTCTCCAGCCGGGCCGTATCAATTTGTCCTCATTTTCAATCGGCCCTTGCGAGTAATTCATTCATTCTCTTTCATTGTGTCCGTTTGATCTTGGGACCCTCCTCCTAACGTCACAGTAACTCGATGGAGATGAGCTGGGGTGCAGCAGGGCTCGATCTCAACCTGAGCACAGGAAAGTGGGAGAGTCTCTTCCCGGGAAAGGAGCGAGAGGGCTTCATTAATTCTAAAGGCACCATCGTTTTCCATTAAAATCCGAAGAAAACGTGTTTGGTTTTGGATACTGAACAATCAAGACCACAGCTTAAGAGTTGCGTTTTAACGCGGGTCTCATAGAGCTCCATCCAGATGTCACCGCGCTGGGTGTAAAACAACCCGTGAAGTTTCCGAAACTTACTATTCTGTGCAGAAACCTGTCCAGACGCGGACTGGAGAGGCGAAGTGCAGACAAGATCGTCTTCTGTCAAATGGAAAGCCAAAAAATCAGACCAGCGAGGTAACGAAGGGGTGCAAAGATTTTTTTTTTTATTTCATCGATACACACTTGGAGAGAGACGCACGTAGCTCTCGCATCAACGGGTTACCACATGGACAGGCATCAGAGACGGACGAATAAGCAAAAACGTTTTAAATACCAGCGCAAAAGTTTGAAAGAACATCAGAGAAGCAAAGACTGAGAAGCTCGCCGTGCAACAACACTGATCCCGCAGATACACCCCAGAACGAACTTCTAGGGGGACTGTGAATTCAGTGAATTGCATTATATTGTTGCCTATCAATTAAAAGCTTTGCTTTTTTCAGATATTTTTTTTAAATGAAAGCTTAGCTTTTTTTTTGTGGGGGTACAAGAATACATTACGCTCCCCAGAAGAACAGCCTGGCACCGCAGAGGAAAGGGGGAGAGAAAACGAGAGTCCTTCGGAAGTGCCCAAAGGCTGGGAAAGAGATCAGAGCTTTCTCGGGAGGACACGAGTGCCGCGGCCGGGGATCAGGTCGTGGGGTGTCCGCGGATCAGCCTGCGAGCCTCGGTGCAGCTGTGTGTTCGCGCAACCCGCAGAGACATGCACGGCCTCCGGAGGCACGATAGTCTGTTGCTGTGGGTCGCCCTCCTCGCCCTCTCCCTGGCGCTGGTCAAGGGGTTCCCCGCAAGGAAACACAAAAACAGCACCCCGAAGGTCAGGGGCACCATTTTCTTGGAGGTAAGCCAACCTTAATAACTCTTTTTGTTCAAGGTTTTTCCAGCTGGAATGCGATATTTGTTTTGTTTTCCATTTTCAGCACTTTTACACTGTAAACTTCAATTTATCGTTGTTTGTTTTCGTTGGCCGCGGTCTGTAGTATTAATTGTATTTCTGTTAACATGCTCTGCACTGCAAGGCAGTTAAGAGCATATTACAGTTTTAAGGACGGATACAACGCATCATGTTACTTACATTTCTATTAATGTAACGCGTTGAATTGTTAAATGCTGACGTTCTCATTAGTGCTTTTTGTGTGTAGAATTAAGAAGTACACATTACTGGACTTTTTATCATTAAGCACGTGTTTGTTGTTTCATGGAATACAGCCTGGTAAGAATTTTGTAAACAGTATTCCAGTTTTCCAAGATTTAAAGCGAACTACTGCGGAGTACATTTGTTATGAGAATGAGACTTAACTTATCGATTACCAAAAAAGTGCCGCCAATACTAATAACTTTTTTACAAGCTACACACTTGAGGACACAAAGTTGCATCATTGTTTTGTAAACACGAAGTTATTTAACACAGATGCGAACTAAAGGTTTAAAACCTTGCACGTTGACTTTCACATTCGGGACTTGTTCTTCAGAAACAAAAGAGTGCGTAGTGTGTTCATTAAAACACAAAAAGTTGATTACAGGAAAGGGTAACTACAGTAAGGCATTGCACAAGGAGCAATATTCTGAGAGCGAAGCTTTGAGAAGCTGCCAAGATTAATGAGCTTTCTGTCACAATGAAAGCCCACATTGCAGTATTTCTTTACTAACGAATTGTAAACACTTAAGTGTAAAAACAAACAATAGACTATAGAAATCATAAAACTGAAAAAATGCAATTAACTTTTGTCGGCAGTTTCTAGCAAACGTGCGCCGTTGTGCAAGGGCACGTGAATCGCTTTAATGCTGCTTGTCATTTCAAGGTTAGTTCGTTCCTTTTACTGCTTATAAACGTAATTAATTCTGTCTAAATTCAGTGACTGAAATGTATCTACTGAAAACCTCCCAAAAAGGGCAAGGGGGTGTTCTTGTTGTTTTTTTCTGTCCTGCCGATTCTACGTGTAATAAAAGTTCTACAGTCCCCTTACCTTTAGGAGTGGAGTGAAAAAAGTGAACGAGTACTTCTTAAAATTCAAAGGCATTTCTGTGTTTGGAAATGGCTCTTTACTTTTTGTGCGCCAGTACTTGCTCACATTTTATGAGCTCAAAATTGAAATAGAAAGAATTAGAAACAAATGGGTATTATTGGAAGGGGGAACGAAAGCAAGGAGCCAGTATGCTTCAAGGTTTGAAGAGAATGGTTTTAATGGGTGTTTCATGAACTAAAAAATGTAGTAAAACCGTCGTACTAAACAGTTGTAGTAAGAGGGTGGGCTAGCAAGAGAACCTTTAAAAATCCATGCGTGTCTTTAGTATCATTCCTTTTTAGTAATCTCCAAAGCCGGTCGTTGATAAACTGGTCAAACATGTATTCCCAATCCCCCAGTTCAACCAGTAAAGTCAGAGGAATGGGGCTTAATGGCTCTCACTTGGTTTGGATTTGAATGCTTTTGCGTTGTCCTGGTTATGCCATATGGGTGTCTGGTAGATTCCCTTCACCAGCTGTTGGCTCTCTGGGTCTCGGGGTTCTGCAGTTCCTGAAACACGTCTGAGTGACAGACCTCATGGAACCCCTAACGCTGAGTATTACCTCCTTATTTTGGCTGATGCACGTTGTGAAGGACCTGCTGTGCCAACATGTGTCCCACCTGTCTCGCCAAGCGCTCTGGCTTTCGGGATTCCAGTCCCGGGCTGTTCATCAGCTGACAGCCAGGGCCCTTGCCAGCATGAGCTGGAGATGAGAAGGCCAGAAGCCGCAGGACCAGGCCACACGGACATCAGGTGAACTGGGAGCCAGGTCAGGTTGTGTGCAGTCAAGGTGAGCTGAGGGTTTATGTGAATACTGCTTGCCTGAGCAGAAAGAATTTCAATCAGACGGCCTTTTTTTATTTTTTAACTTGAATTTTTAGCTACCGTTAACAATGAATGATAACTTTGCTTTTAGGCTATAGGGGATTAACAACCGAGCCAAACCAGAAGATGACCGACTGTGCCTATTGATGTATTGCTTCATATGAGTAGTCTTGTTTCACCTTCACCTATATTAATTATTTCCTTTGGGGATGTTAGTTTTGCATTAGCTTAATTTCATTGACAATTAATTAATCTTTTTAACTTAAAACAATCTTGGATAGGTGTCAGCTAATAGAATAAAAAATAAGGAGAATCACTCAAAGACTACAGCTGAGTATAGAGAGATTATCTGGTTTAAATTCACACATAAGCAGTCTGATTTATATATCATAATTATTGCAAAATTACCTTTTAAAACTCTTAAGATTTATTAGTGTGTTGTCTTTACTGTTTATTTCTTCAACACATAATTTTGGTGTTCTTCAGCAGTTGCAAGTAGCTGACAGTCTGCATAAACAGACCTGCAGAAGAGTTTTTTACAGATAATTTTTGACTGAAATAAAATCTATACATTAATCGTCCTTTGTGTAAGTCAGAAAGAGAGAGGCTGGTCTTCAGGATGCTTTTAGTAGTAGTGTGCAGAGCTAAATACCTAATTAAAAGCAGTGGTATTGTGGTGCTGTGGTTGAAGAGCTTTGATCTAATAATGAGTTTAAACAGCACTGGGTTTTAAAGAGATCTTCAACAAAGTCCAGATTCGTTTGAAGTATAAGAAGCCCCATCTATCAATAAATTAAGAATGAGGAAAGTGAATTACTGTACTTTAAGCACTGAGTCATTTGTTTACTGTCAAGAGTGAACAGAGAAGTCAGCACACTTAGCGCTCTGTATTGTTATTGTGAGAAGCAGATGGTTTAAAGTAATACCATGGCTTTTGCAACAATTTAATGCCTTGTGTTTTGAAATCATTCCTGTTTGGTTTCATTTCTTATACCGGAGGATTCTAAAGAGTCTTCGATATAGGAGGGAAATGACTCCATTCACACCCATCGGGGTGACAGACAGCAGCCTTTCTGCACCAGCAGCCCCACTGTACAGCAGACCAGGGGGAGGAGTGAGAATCCGTTTCCCCAGCTGAATTAAAGGGGGCACTGTAGGGAGACCTGTGGAATTCGGCTCACAGTGGAATTTAGCCAGGCCAGCAGGGTGGTGGGATCAGGACCTTAGCTTAACATCCCAGTGCAAGGACAGTAGCCCTACAGCAGAGTGTCTCTAGTCACCATGCTGGGCCACTGGTGCAGACATTCCAGCCCCGAGCAAAGAACAGCACCTGCTCATCCACTAACGCCACTACAGCATGGGCTTGGCTCTGCCCAGTCCCAGGGCCCGCCAGGCCCACCTTGCTGAGCTGAGATCTGCGCGGGTCGGGTGATCGTGTTGGAAAAGGAGGGGATACTGCTGTAATGTAGTGCAGCACTTGGCATCATTTAGGAGCTCCTCGCTCTGACATGTTGATATACATACTCGCTTGCTAAGTATGTTAAATGACTGTGTTATAGTGTCTTAATAAAGTGTAGGTTCATTATGTATAGGTTTTTTTTTTAACAATTTGAAACTAGCTGTAAAGCTATTGGGCCTCACATTAGTCTAAATGTTGTGCAGTGAGATCAGTACTCATGCTCTTAATGTGCATAGCTTACTGCAGCTAGTGTGACTAACCATTCTTTTTCTAAGAGTCAATTTTGTATAAAGCCAACAAGAAGGGTTTTTGTTGAGGGTTTAATAAAGCTGCAGCAGCACACATGAAGAAGAGGGAGCTGCTCATGGACAACAGTCTGGGGAAACAGTGGGATTCTTGTGTAGGACTAACAATGTGCATTATTCCTAAGCTCCAGTGTCTGAGATAGAACGGGTCCAGTCTAGTGAATCAAGTGGCTCTGTGAATTTAGGATGTTTGGTAAAGTTCTCAGATCCTGGTTTACATTTTGTTTTCAAGAATTCAAAGTCTTAAGTTGCTTTGGTGGTTTAAATTTCTGGTCTCTAGGTCTATTTATCTGCTAGGTAGCTGCGCTGTGGAAAGGCCTCAGATGTGCTGTACTGTAACAGAATCTAAGCTGAAATACACTATTATCCGTATGTTAAAGCTGCATGGTCCGAACATTAAGATTAGAGTGTTCGTAGGTGGCTTGAGACCTCTGGAATATGCTGGTTGCAGTGAAGAAACACCAGCTTCTATTTCTCCAGCAACACATGGACGAGGAGGGAATGTGCACCTCATACTCAAACACCCACACACGTCTCATGCAGGTTCTTCCTGCAGTTTGCAGAGAAATAGAAATGCAGAAAGCCCCACATTTGTTTGGATAGTTAAAAGTGCATGTCCCACACATTCTGTTTTTTAACTTAGATTTTAGGCTTTGACTAGAGTTTGTTGAAATAATACCTTTAAAATGTCGTGGTAAATAAATGCATTTATTTAATCAGCTACAGGATGTCAGAGTGAATTTCCTCCAGGGAGGTGAATAAAGAGGCCATACAGCTAAAAGCTCTCTGACACTGTGAGCTCTATTTCCATTTGAGCAAAGCCAGGCATGACTAGTGGAAGCAATATAGATCGACGTTCTTTTCTTGTGTTTTACTTCACATGGGTTTACATGTTTAACTGTATAACAGCACTGTGAGAAATAAAGTGTTCTGACAGTGCTATAAATATACAGGCAGCACAGAAAATAGCTTTGATTTTGTAAATGAATAGTCAAATCTATATGTTTGGTTCAATTATGAAGGACCATGCAGTTTTCCACTGTAATGTGTCCCAGTTGTTTTCTGCCCTGTGACCCTTGGTAATATGTTATGATGCCGTCAAATAAATCTCTCTGTAGTTTGTTTGTTGTAGAATATAGACTGTAGTGACTGCTTGATTTTACAGATTTCTGCAGTGAGGGCCCTTCAGAAAAGTTACCCACTAACATATTCAAAACATTGAGATCAGTGGAATGTGATAACTTTAGTATATTTGTAATTAGTCATCCAGCTTGATGAGAAAATTTGCTATGGTTTATAAACGCACTAAAGGTAAAATACTGTTCTGCAGTCCCACTAAGTAAATGTGTTTTGGCATTTAATATTGAGACCTGTTTCAAGGCTGTATAGGTACCATTCATTCGAATAATTAGAGCCATGGTCTGTGGGAAAGACTTTGAGGACCCCTGGAAGTTTTACATGAGGTGCAATGATCAAGATTTGTGAGTCACAAACTGTACAGGACTCTCATTCAGTTTTATTAGCCGGTTATTTCTGTTCATTTTGCCTATAAAGCTGAATAAGACTTCTGTTTCAATGGGCCACCCATATAGTGTGTTCCTCACGCCATAAACTTCCAGCAGTGGAAGGGGCATCATGAACAATGAGCAGAGCAGGCTGCAGGCTGGAATAAGGCCGTTGTCATGCTCCCCACATCTACAGGACCTTCGTGGGCACTCACCTGTGGTTTGTGTGGGTCCTAATTCTCCGGTATAGTGACAGAAACAAACGCTATATTGTAAAAAAAGTTGTTGTACTTCGGATGAGACGTAAAACCAAGGTCCTGACTCTCGATAGTCATTAAAAATTCCAGGGTGTTTCTTTAAAAGTGATGGGGTGTTGCCCCAGTGTCCTGGCCAAACGTCCCCCTGGCCTTTACCCATTGTGGCCTCCTAGTGATGGCACACTTTGGCTGCTGTTGCATCATACAGGTGGGGGCTCCACACTGGTGGTGGTGGATGGAGTCTCCATTATTAGTAAAGCGCAAAATACATTGTCCGGAAAAGTGCTATATAAATGTAAGGAATTATTCTAATAAATATAAATTTCATTTTCATCAATAATAATAATAATAATTGCTTACACTTATATAGAGCTTTTCTGGACACTCAAAGCGCTTTACAGGTAATGGCGACTCCCCTCCACCACCACCAATGTGCAGCCCCACCTGGATGATGTGACGGCAGCCATAGTGCGCCAGAACGCTCCCCACACACCAGCTCTCAGTGGGGAGGAGAGCAGAGTGATGAAGCCAATAGCTGTGATTGTCTTGTTGGTTAAAAGGTTTTTCTTTTCTATGCATACACCAGAGACCATGGTTTGTCTCCTCAGTTGCCTGTTAATTGGTAACTCAGACCCACGTCAGCCCTCCTCCTCTGCTGGTGGTTCTCTTTCTGATCCAGTGTTCTGAATGAAGTTTGTTCCGTCCAGCGCTGGTTTGTTTCCACACCTACGAAGGGTACTCAAAGTAGCAAATGCTGTTTGGACAGCTAGACATTCAGGATAATCTGGAGCCTCACATCAAGTTTACTTTGTTGTTGCAAAAATTGTCGGTAAGCCTTTTGTTATTATTTCTCATAACAAGTATTGTGGTGTAAAACCCTCTCATGTTAAGGTAAATAATACAGTTTTCTATGGTGCCATTTCATACATACTGTAGTTCACGTCTTCTGCAGCTACATAAATCTCACACTAGTGAGCCTTTAGAGGGCATCAGATGTGTATGAGCCTGGCACGGCCTTTGGTGCCCGTGATTACCACCTTAGCTCTTTGATCAGAAAAGTCTTCTGTCACAAGGATGTTGATTTGGGCTGGGTTACTGTAATCGGCAGATCAGAAGAATACAGATAGATCAATACTTTTTATATATATAATGTGTGTGGTAATGCTAGATTTAAAAGCATTTTGTATATTTTGTATACAGGTAGGCCAGTGCTTCCAAAGCATGCAGGTGTAGAACAGGACTTAATGTATTTTTATACAAAAATTCGTATTCTATATTCTGGTCGCTTGCAGATTAGAATGCCATATGTTTAGCAATAATATTTATGGTACCTGAAAGTTTCAGGTTGTTGCACAAAGCTAAGGTATGCGTATACGTGATCTGACAACTGGAATCAATTTCCTGTCATTAAATTCTGTTTATTTTTAAGTTTAATGATGTCCCATCATTGATAGTTGGATTGATAGGCTGGATGTTGAAGGTAAGGCTTTTCACTGCTGTGTCAGAGCAGGTAACCTGCGTGGCTCCGGTTCCACCTGGCTTTCAATCATCCACACACACACACTGTGGCTGATTTATACCTCGAAGACACCTTTGATGTGGAGTTGTGCCGCATTTGGGTCAGTTTTGTGGCTATGTCTTGCCTTGCTTTGAAGTGCTTCACTTATCAGGATTAAAGTGACTCTTAAAGAAATCATCTGGTCCTAATTGCAGGTAACGCAGCATCAGTTTCAAGTGCTGCACTCCCCCAGACAACATGAGAAGGGCTGAGGGCGCACAGCTGGCCTTGTTGAGTGGCTTTAATGAGCATTTAAAAAGGTGAACTCCAAGTGAGCACAGGCCAAGCAGTGGGCATGCAAGGCAGAGATTATTGGCACTTCATGCATGTTTAGACAAGAAGTGTAATTTAAGACCTGTTGACATTTGTGTGTGCAGGACTCCAGTCATTTTCCAGGGTTGCATTCCTTTGTTTTGGGGTAGTTTTTTTGTGTACAAGATAACCAGGTCTCTTTCAAGATGTGTTGGTTGAGTCCACCTAGCCTGCCAAACTGCACACCAGGTATTGATTCAATATTTTATTCTAAAGCAGAGTAGCTCAGGAAAGTGCATTGAATTAAAAGAGGATATTTTGAATGTGGAGTGGTGGGTTCAGGAACATAGTTTTTTTCTCCAGACTTTGGGTCTCCAGATTAAAGTAAACCAGATGAAGATTAAGTACAGATACACATCCTGCAGTATGTAATAATTTACCTGCATGTGGCATCTCAGGCAAGCATCCAAAAATTTCCAAACCCCTTCCCATCAGCTTAGCAGCGTATTATGCTAACATTAACCATCTGGATTTAGATTTTAGCTCGCCAGCTGATTTTTAACAGCGTAGTGAATCTGCATTGAGTGTTATGAGACCGCGATTTTTTTACGTTTTATCTGTCCAGGTTCCACGATGTTTAAACACCACCACATTGCAGACGTCTTGTTGACCTCGAGCCAGTACTAAAATGTTGTCATATGTTGGATATTTCACTGCAGATGGGTTGGTTTAGCTGAAATCTAAGCTCTAAGAAACCACAGCTGCTTCACGCACAGAGTTCACAGCAGAGCTGAAGAGCCCGTATGGCACAACAGGTTCATGCTGATGCTAACCATTCCCAAGAGCCCAGCGCCTCTATTCTGATCTCATTAAAGCAGGAAAATCTGGCACACACTACTTCAGTTAGTACCTTGAACTGTGCCTCGGGAGAAAGGAGTTACTTGTTGTAGAAGAAAAGGCAATCAGCATCTTCTCCTCACTTCCTATCCTGTGCTTTGTGGGACTGGTGACTGCAGAACTTTGAAGTCATCCTTGCTGGTCTCACCCGCCCTGTCTCACCCATTTGTAGGAAAGTGACAAATTTGCTGAAACCATCGTTGGTTTCAGACTCTACCAAGCAATAAAGGATCTATTGCCAGTCAGACAAACAATTGCAGAGGTTGTTGTGCAATAGTTTGAGGGTTCTCTGTTGTAACGGTTTAAATTTTCTGTTGCATTTTCTTTCTAACTGGAAATTGAGAAGTCGAGTATTTGAAAACGTAAAAAAACATATTCTTAGCCAGCATTTCACTATCCCACGGATAAGTAATTGAAAATTAAGTTCCAGTAATGAGCAGGACAGTGACGTGAGTGGCTTTCCTGTGCATTATCCTCCCTCTCCGGTTTGTGCAGTGGTTGGCTGTCTATTGTTATTCCAAGTGTCAAGCCTGCTGGGATGATGGACTTACTAACTCTTCAACCCTTTCACGAAATCTAGTAAACCTACATGTGTGCACAGTTCCAGTCCTGGCACTGGAGACAGCACAGCTGGACTTGTACTAAACACAGTAAATGTGTATAGACACTAGAAGATGTGTTTATCCTTCTAATTAGAGCCACTTGTTTCCAGGAAGGTTCTTCAGTTTGCAGCTTGTTAATCAAAGTACGAATAACTATTAGGTGTGGCGCAGGTAAATCAACATAACTCTTAAATCAGTGCCATAATACCTTCTTTTTTAAAATAAAGAATAATTATATATTTGTATTGTATGCACCTGTGAGTGCTTCATGTGCTCCCATATGGCCAAGACACACAGGGGGGCCCCTCACTTTCATATCTGACTTAATCTCTGCTTGCACGTGGTTTCACCTCGTAGGCACAGGAAGTGTACTGTGTGTCGCGTGACTGTGGAGTAATGTGCTTGCTGTGCCTGTTTGCTCAGCGGGCGGAGTCCGTGCCCAGGGCTGCCCAGCAGGGGGCTGAGAACACGCAGCATCCGAACCAGGTGAAGAGCCTCCTGTCCTCCTCGCGACGGCACAAGCGCAGGTGGTCCCAGCGCCGGCTCGCCCCCGATGCCGAGGAGACAAACCCCTTCGTCCTGGATCTGCGGAACTTCCCGGATCTGGCCAATGCTGACCTCAACTCCCAGAACCCCAATATCCAGGTGAGAGCAGGAAGGCAGAGGAAGATCCCACTGTTGGGGCATCGCTGGGGCCAGTAATCACCGAGCCAGCCAGAGATGTGGACCTGTGCTGCCTGGTTTTGTTAAAGGATTATTTCTGTTGCTCTGTCATGAGTCATACTGAAAAAGTTCATTTTAAAAACCCAGTAAGTGTCTGTATCTGAAGGCAATTTTCAGAATGACAGCACCTGCTGCTAGGAGGAGGGCAATATTTAAAGCTCACATTTATTAGTGGCTGATTCATGTGCAATTGCATTGTTTGACTTTATATAATGTAACCATGCAGTCCTGGTGTTTTGCAAGCCTACTATCTCAGAGCTTAATTACAAATCTATTAGCTCAAGAATAAGCTTATCCTCAGGCAAATTTAGAAAGCGTTGGTGTACAAACTGGGCTCCTGGGGAACAGTAACATTGTCATAGTTTGCAAAGACTAAATTTCAAGATCATTATTTCCTACAGGGTTTTATAAAATAGTAATTTATTTGAGCAACAAATTCTTTCAGCCTCACATAATACAAATAAATTACTAATGGCACAATTGAGAGGTTTTGTAACTGTAGTCTGGTGATTAAAATAATAGCAGATAATAACAGGAAGCATGGGTTGTCTTAAACAGTGCCAGAAGAACAGCAGGAGATAACTAGTCTGTGATCTGAATTGAGAGCTCTCCTAAATACTTCATTTAGAACTCCGATTAACAGAAGAAAGAGAAAAGAGCTCTTTTACATTTTTGAAAATGATCGTTATTTATATTCCAAGTTAGAGTAGCTAATGCTTTAATGTGGAAAGTCTCTTTAGGTAGTTTTTACATTTCATTTAATGGGATCAAGAAATGAAATGTGACGGTTGGTTTATGCTTTATATCAGTTAATTATGGTCCTTCTGTCTAATTGAATTACTCTTGTTGAAATGAAAGTTACTAGGCTTCTCTCTCTCTGTAATCAAGATTTATACAGTCGCAGCTTGAATTTCCCTGTGCTGTTATAGAAAGCCAGGCCATGATATTGCAGGATTTCTTGCATTTTTGTCACTTTCTCTGAAGCCCAATGCTGTTGCTAACTGTAAGGAGAGACACTCAAGTCACCTTTGACTTTAAATTTTTTGATTTTGTGTTCAGAGTTTTGTTTGTGTTTAGCATTATTTTTGGGAATATTCATAGACGTGCAAAGAGCTATTTTATTACTCATTGTTTTAATTAGGTACTAATGCATTCTTTTAAAGTTCTCTGAAATGTTAATTTGAAAGTTTGCTGATATTAAAAGGAAACAAATTTACAAGGTGACTTGTAGTCTGTTTTTACACTGCTGTTTTTACAGCAGGTAGCAAATGCTGTTAAATTTAAAAGAAAGACAATCACAGCATGGGTACTCGGTTTATTTCTTAAAACATTGATGAGCACATTTTCAAGATATATGGATTGAGCTGGGGGACTCATTAAATCACAAGACAACTGTACACAAAAAACCCTCTTTGATTTATTGACAATAATGGAAGCAGATGCATTAAGGAGCTGTTTATGATGAGTCACCACATTTTAATGGGGTGTAGTTAAGTGTAATAAGTTCACATTTATAGCCTTGACAAATTGAAGGAACTAAATGTGTCACGCTTAATGAAATCTGCACTGAAGCAGGGAGTTTACAATTCTTCATCCATAACAGGCTATATTTGGTTATTTAATTATCCCCAATGAATATAGCTTTCCAAGACATTATTGCCTAAACAGGACATTTCTGTTTTTTTCAGAGTTTTCAACACTGGTAATAAGGACATAAAGGTTCTGATCAGGATGACGCCCTTTGGGCCCTCCAGCCGGTTTGGTTTCTAGTAGCTGATAGATCTAAGGCTGTGGATGTATGTAACAGGCAATCCAGCCCAGGGCATCAGCTTTGACAGACTGGCTGGACAGACTGTTATATACATCCACAGCCCTTTGTGTAAGGATGCATCTGCTTTAATCAGTTATATACACACTTACCCTTACATGTGTCCCCTGTGTGCCCTGGATTGTTACCAGAGCAGATCATACAGCAGAATTGTTTGCATGAGATTTTATGACCATAGGAACTCTATGCCCATAAATGAGTGTCAATATGTTCAGTGCTTCTCAAACGATCTATGATCAAGCTCTAGTGTGATATATAAAGAGTATGTCAGGTGGGTATCTGGGTCAGCGTGCGTAGGCTGCAAAGGAACAAGGAATAGGTTTATTCCATGCTGAAAAAGAAAACAATGTTTCGGCAGTGGAGCCTTCTTCAGGTGTGAAAAGTATGGTTGCATAACTGTTTTCAGTGTTTTTGTCTTTTTTGTAAACCTTTATAGCAGCCATTAGATTATTTTGATGTAAAGAAAATAAACATTTAACTTTCTGTTGCATAAACAAAAGGAGTTGCTAGCTGTCGCTTGTCCTGGTTAGTCTGTAAAGAGCTAGTCTGGTCATACAGAGATTCAGCATATTGTTACCAGGAGATAATACAGAATAGAGGACCTCAGCACAATCTGTCATCTTTCCACTGTTTGGGGTTGCTTCTTGAATTTTGCAGATTGTAATAGCATGCTAGACTGGCACCAAGCTCTGGTGGATATTGATATTAAGACACTGGACTTCCCACTTGTTTTTGTATTTCGGTGCGAATAAGACCTGTTGCTGATTAGACCGGTTGACTAGGTTCTGAAGTGGACACAACATGGTTCTCTTACCCTACCTAGCCTATAATAATTGAATACAAATCTCTTTTCGTGTGTTTGCTCTGAAGGTGAATGATACAGCGGCTCTTGGGTCGTGCCGTCTCAGATAGACCAGTTATGGCGCGGATGTTGCAGTAAGTCCCCACCGTCCTTGACTCAAACGGTCTGCCTTGGTTTCAGGTCACCATCGAGGTCGTGGATGACCCTCAGACCGAGATCGAGATGGACCTGCTCGAGGAGAGCCGGAACGACTGGCCGCTGTCTTCGGTGGACTGGCTGGGGGATAAGAAGCTGTTCTGGCCCCTGTTCTGGGAGTACCCCGACTCGCAGGAGGCCAGCCTGGAGGACACGCGGGAGGATCACACCCTGGAGTACGACAGCGAGGAGTCCGCCCTGAGCGGCGTCGGGGGAGACTGGGACAGCTCGTGGCACAAGGGCTGGGACTCCAAGGACACTTACGGTGAGTCGGGACGCGTTTCTCCGGAAGTCAAGTGCCAGACCACCGCACGAGGGATGAGGGGCGGCGAGTTGGGAGAATAAGAAATCATTTAAAAGGTGTTCAGAGTGACAGAGATTTTCATGTTTTTGAGGTTCCAAAATCGACTTCATTTGCCAGCAGAGATGCTGCAGCTCACACAGAGAACAGGCTGGTAGAGATGGCAAGAGGCCAGGCAGCTTCTTTTCTGTAGCAGAATCTGGCTTGAAAGTTCACGGAGGCCTGTTGGATAAAAGTTGTTAGACCTTCTGAATGCCCTCATGGATTTCATTCTGAATTTCTATCAAATGTTAAAATGGGAAAGATGGGTTATTTTTAACCAGACAAATTTACGTACTAGGTTATCTTCCTCTGAAGAGCCTTGTAGATATTGCAAGTGGAGCCCTACCAGTTTTTTAACTCGGAGAAAAATCTGTAATATGTTATGATTCAGAACTGTTCTATCAATACGTTCCTGACCCTTTTATAGTGCTTAAACAATAACCGATGGCTTCTTAAAAAATGCTTTCAGTGTTTTATTGGATTCACTAAAATATAAAGCACAGTGTCATGGTTGTCTAAAAATATGAGGCAGCAACTGTCAGATTTTAAACACCTGCTTGGTTTTAGTTGATTGATTGTTCTATAGCCTCATACGACAGCATGTGGTCTCAGCAGGTTCCACAAGACTCTTAGCTCTTCATGTATTTATTGACACTGACTGCTTACAATTATCTTTTTAAAAAGAACAGTCAATAAAACCAATTTCACATCTCGTACATAGTACTCATACAACGCATCTCATACAACACAATATGATTTTTTTTGTCTTTCATTTCTAGTAAAACCATTTTAAAGATTCGGAATGAAAAGTCCAGTTAGACCAGCAGTTCCTACCATATCATTTCAGTCTTCCTACCAGACCTTTGACAGAGGGGAAAGAAAAAAACTAAATTAGTGACCGTTTTTTACAGATGCTTGCCAGAAGAGCTCTGCTAAATTGTTAACATCCAATTGAGACAACTGAGCATTGTTTTCTCAATGGAATATTTAAGTAATTTTTGCATGCCTGTTGCACACTGGTCATTCTCTCTCCACAGAGCCCGGCATTCTTCAAGCCTTTGGAAATTTAAAAGAGATGCCTCCACTGAGAGCACAGGGGGAGAACTAAAAGAGAGAGAGGGAGTGCGGCTTCTCCGCCCGCGAGCGCTCGACCATCAGGACATTGTTTGTGTCCTCTTTGAAGTTGACACTGGTTCTTGGTTCCAAAGGCTTTTGAAGATCCGCTGGGCAGCTTGCTAATAGCAGCATGAGCCTAGCCCACTGGATAAACAACTAATATTTGCGTTCAATTAGACAGCAGATTAGGAGGACAGGGTGACATGGGCTGACAGGGAAAGGCTGGGCTATTCTTCTCGTCCCACGACTCAGACTCTGGCTGCTCTTCGCATTTCGGAAGCTTTTAAGCCAGTTCAAAAATTCAGGGGCTGTGCGGGCTGCACATAAAATTACTTTGCTTTTTTTTTTTCTTTCGATGGGAGAGATGCGGCGTGCCTTCTGCTAAGCAGATTTGTTAAACCACATTCTAAATTAAAGAGGGATTCTGAACTGGAACATCCAGTCGGCACAGTTCTGAAGTTTTTCACTTCACTAAACATGGGAACTCCTTTGGAGTTTAAGTAAAATTAGAAATGAATTCTTCTGGTAATTATGCATCATTGATTTGATTCTTCTACGCATTACTTTGTCAGAATACAAGGGGAGAGATTTTTGTATCATATACTTCATTTGATTTTTTTTTTTAATTTTGCCCATGCAGTGTGCAAACAGAACTGACCGTGTTTGACTTCTGTTGTTTTGGGTACTTTGCATGGTTTTTTTTTATTCCTTCCTGCCCTTAATTCTTAAACCTGTCATACATGGCTTCAGTGCTTCACTATTATGTCAGTGTGTCAGACTTTTGTGTTCAAATGCTCGCTTAGTCCTGAGAGAATACATTTTCTTAAATAATTTGTAGATGTAGTTGAAATGTCATATCTTCCGTTCTGTGATTCTGTCACGTTGGTTTGTTTAGCCTTATATTGGCAAAAAAATCACTCTTGCTCTGTATTCTTGTCCCTGTAATTGAAGTTTCCTGTGCTGCACAGGCTCCACTATAAGACTCCATAGTGTAATCTAAACACACCACCTTGCACGGGTTTGTCAGTCATTACTGTTTATGAAGAACACTGTTCTCCTGGTGGCTTGGGCTTTCATCTCCACTAGTTTGTTCTTTTTTATTATTTTTGTACCCTGGAGCCACAAGGAAGAAGAAGCTTATATACTGTGAATTGTGAGGACTGTACACAGGAATTCACTGTCTATGCTCTGAAGAAAAATGCACCTATGACAGTGTCTATTAAGCGGCCAGCTTTTAACAGTTTCAGGCCCTAAAAACACACCTCAGTTTCAGCTTTTCCTGTAATTAAAACTATTCTGAAAGTCTATTCCTGGGTGACCCGCAAAGTGATCTGGCAGCAGAACAAAGGGGAACTTTTTTTTTTTACTAAAACGACATGCAGTACTGTGCTAATCCAGTAATTTTATAGCTCACTTAGTCTGTAATCAAGGTCATCGTGTTTTCATTATTTACACAAGATTTTGAAAATTTGGCTATTAAAAACCATTGCATCTCTAATCTTTATGCTCTGGCAAACCATGATAGAGCTGGAAGGCTGCATTATTTCAGTGGAGCGGAAAACTCCACATGCTTTGGAGATGAAGGGTGCTGTAGTCTGAGGATTTTTTACACAAGTATGAAAGCAATGCCTGTATGTGAGGCAGACATTTCAGACATTATTATTTTTTGGCAGCTGTCCCACTTTGAAATTAACATATTTTCCACAACAGAGTTCTGTTCTCATTGCAGAATTATAAGATTACAAAATCATATACACAGACACATAGGTGATTACAATTGCAGCCCACTTATTACATTTTATTCAATTAAATAAGACTACTATTGGAACTTATTGCAGCTTGAATGAACTTGGTAGGTCTTTCTTAAATGACTTAAGTATTTTTGAACTCGCAGCAGTTATGGATGTGGTGTATCGAGGTTTTTAGAAGCCTCTTGGTAGGGTTACACATAAATCGTTTTTTTAAAGCCACAAGCATCCAAGGAAGTTGGACTGCATTTCCTTAGACATTGTATTTGGACTGAGAACTGGGTAATAAGATAATTAGTGTTTAATGCTTAAATTGGGGAGATGTAATTTCTGGAGTGCCACAGGAGTCTGTGTTAGGACTGCATTCTCACAGTGCTTGCAAATGAATTCACCTCCTTGCAGTGGTGTTCAGTTTTGTTGAATTACAAATGCTACATGCAATGATTTAGGTATGCTGTGACACCCATTGGTTTTACTTAAATTTTTAGAGACTGTTAATTTTAAGTACGGATGATGCCTTCAGGTTCTTCAAGATCCAGCAGCTTTCTGTCTTGGAGACCCAGGACTTTGCTGATCAGATTAACGTTGTGCCAGCACACAAAGGTCACTCTCTGGAATCGTTAAAAAATGTAACCTAATAATATCATTGCCACTGGCTCAGGAACTGAGTTTCTGTTCTTTATTCACAAAATTGGGGTCAGTTGCAGGACAAAATCTAAAAAAAAAAAAGTTTTTCTTTCTATGTATTTTTCATAAATGTGATTTAAGCCACCCAGTGTTGTGAGCCACCTGACTCTGCAGCTGTGCTTATAATAACCTGTGAGAAGCACAAGCAGAGACCTTATTTTCCTGTGCTCCAACTCAGATAATGTGATCCCCTAAAAGTTATGGCTGAGAGAATGTATTGTTCATTAGAAATTAAAGCTATTAGGTGCTGAAATAGATGCAAATCACAGAATGTGTTAGTATTGGCTGCTGGCCTTTGCTGAAACCAGCAGAATTTAACATTGTTATATTTATTGCACAACAATGGAGCCTGAGAGTGAGTAAGATTAAATTTTACAGCAGAGTATGCAGTATTAATTGCGTCAAGCATCATTAAGTATTCAGTGGAAACAAAGTTGAGAAGAGCATTTAATAGACCTGAAGCTTTTTAAACACTTTGTGCAGCAGTTGAAATATTAAATTATACCCCAAAGAAAAAAAATCTTGATTCCATATTAATTTATATGATATTAATTTATATAACGATATTTATACAGTGCCCATTTTTTGTTGAATTTGTACTAATTCTTTAGGTTTTTTAGGCTTTGTTTTGAGAGGGTTGTTTAAAATGCATTAATGGAAGTTACAGTCTGATTTGAGCTGTAATGCTGCTTGAACGCTTGGCCACCCTCTTGCTATGCCAGGAATCCATCGGTTTCCTCTGGAGGTGAATGTAAAAACCTTCTCTGCTGCTTGTTGTGCTCAGAGTATGAGGAGGAGGAGTGGAGCGCCTGGTCCTCCTGCAGTGTGACCTGCGGCTCTGGGAACCAGACAAGAACGCGGTCCTGCGGTTATGCCTGTACAGCCACTGAGTCCCGGACCTGCGACCTGGAGCGATGTCCAGGTATTGTCACCTTGCTCTGACCTTCCATGACCTTCAGGCTCCTTTTGCCAGTGTCCTGGGGCTGAAGGGTCTAGGGATGCTCTGGGTCGACTTGCAGCAGCACATGGGACAAGTCTTTGCAACAGGCGTGTCACTTCCTGTCTTGACTGACGCAAGAGCTCTAGGAAGGCGATCGCTCAATCAGGCCGAGTGGAAAAGCTTTAGTCTGGCACAAGCAGCCTCGCTCCGGCAGGTTGCCGCCATCATGTGACAGGTTTGGGATTGTGCAATTGGCAAGTTGAAGTTTGGGATTTAATGGCAGCCGTAAATGGATTAAAGCAGCTTTGTACAACAAAACATGAGGAAAGTCCAAAACCATTTGCTATGCAAGGTTTTCACACAGGAGCTGTTACAGTTCCTGTTTGTGTCTGTTACTCCTTCTTAGCAGGGATTTCCACCCACTGTTTTAACACTGATCTCTTTCAGCCTGTTGTGGAGTTTCAGCCCTGCTGTAACTGTTCATGGCCACAGAGAGCCCATAGGCCCCCCACTTTCAGCAGGGTAGTGTGGCTCTCATCTGGGTGACCTACAGCCAGCTCTGTCTCAGTCATTTCAACCTTGAGAACATCTCTGCCACCTAGTGCAGTTTATACCCTTCAGCAGGCAGAGCGATATTCATTTCTAATTGCCATTTTAATATTTTTCATAGTAACAAATACTGTGAAACTGTTTTTTGAGCATTCTCTGCGAGGTGAAGTGAGTAAATGTGTTTCAGTTCATGCCTTTCTCTTTCTCTCTCCCAATGGTCCTCAAGACGATGTGAATGCAGTGACCGATCTCATGCCCTACGGGACTGAGAATAGCACGGAGCTCTTCGATGCAGGTCAGTGGATGTTGGGTTGGTCAATTTTGTTTTCAGGTAACCCCCCGGACCCAGTGTGGGTCATAACTGGTGACCATCTGGTTTCACTTTGCATCTCATTCCGCTCTGCCTTCTCACCTGGAGACTCGGCTTTAGAGGGAATCGTTGTCTGAAAATGTGAAACAGCTCACGAATTTCACAAAATATCAACTGTCCTTGTCTTTAATAAAAATAATGTTCACAGAGCAGAGGTATGACGATCGGAAACGACACTTAGCACATTAACCTCTCGACGTGGGAGTGCAGAGAAATGGAAAACCATAATGTTTATGATGTAAGAATATATTGACCAGATTTGAGCTTCTTAGGTCATTAGAGTTTTTTAATCATCTCGGATTGCCTGTTCTGTTTTGAAAGGGGCCTTTGGGGCCGCATGGAGCATTCCAGCACGGACAGTCCACACCTGCGTGCTGCGAGGGGTAGCTCCCCTGAGAATGGCATGCAGTCTGCGAAACAGGCTGTTCTTCCAGAACATATTTGATTTTTTTTATTGCTCTCCTCTTTCCAGCTGTTACTTAAGTGAGACATGAAAGTGATCTAGCTGTTTCACTTCATAATAATAATGAAAAATGCAGTTAAAAAATATAGCCAGCTAAAGTGTGAGGATTTTTTTTTTCCATTGACTATGGAGAGCAAATATTTATGAAGAGAAATCTGCAGGAAGGTTGTGCAGGCTGCCAGGGTTACCTTATACGCCTGGAGCTGGAGGGCTTTTAATCCATACTGCATAACACTGCAAGCGAGCTCATAGCCAGAAGGCCAGATTTCACCCTGAATGAGGTCCTGTGTCATTTCATACGTAAGCCTGTGGCATTTGTGTTGATGAAAGCCATGTAAGTCAGAGGCTACTTTAGTGTTTGGTCTGTACTTCGATTGCTGGCCAGTGTTTACATGATGGATGACAATGAAAATATGAAGAACATTTTAACACCATAAAAATCATGTAATCTGTTGGCTGCCAAAAAGACTAAACAAAAGTCAGAAACAGGCATTTATATGCTAGTTGGACCTGTTTCATATGAGGAATAATGAGATAAATTTGCCACCCGTCAGTACCCTCCCCCCTCAGAAGACCACTACCACTGAAGTCCATGATGTTTCATGTTGCAAAAGTGTCCAAAAGGCAAATCCAGTAATAATTTTCAGTTTTTCTGTCCATAAGAATCCCAAAACACATGGCCTATATGAAAACACCTGAGAGGTTACAAGCAACAGGAGGCCTTTAGGCCCGTTTTAGTAACGAAATGACCCCAGGATCTCATTCTTGAGGGAAGCCAGGGAATCGGCTTCAGCCACACCCCCAGGGCTTCTCACTTGTGTTCTGCGGTCGGCTGTGGGGTGGGGCACTGGGTTGCCATCCTCTGCCCCTCTTGTTACCAGAGGGGGAAACTGTGCCCTCTGAGGCACAAACAGGGAGGGAGTCTCACACTGGACAGCTTTGAAAACGATGGCGCTGGGTTAGCGGAGCTGAAGGAGGTTTCGAGTGGAATATGGCGTGCAATCCATTAAGATGATCGACTTTTGTTAAACCTTGATTCCTGCAGATGTCGACAGCTGCGAGAAATGGCTGAACTGTAAAAGCGACTTCTTGCAGAAGTACCTCCACCAGGTGCTGACCGAACTGCCCAGCTGCCCTTGCACCTACCCGTCCGAAGTCGTCTACAGTGCGGTCAATATCTTCGACGAGAAGCTGAAGAAGACGTTCCGCTGGCGCGACGCCAGCGGCCCCAAGGAGCGCCTGGACATTTACAAGCCCACAGCGAAGTTCTGCGTGCGCTCCATGCTGTCCTTCGACAGCACCACTTTGGCAGCGCAGCACTGCTGCTACAACGACCACATGAAGCTCATAACCCGGGGGAAGGGGGCTGGAGCGCCAGACCTCATCAGCACCGAGTTCTCGCCCGAGCTGCACTACAAAGTGGACGTGCTCCCTTGGATCCTGTGCAAGGGGGACTGGAGCAAGTTCCACGCCGTCCGCCCGCCCAACAACGGGCTCCGGTGCGCCGAGAACCCGCCGGAGGACGTGTACATGAACGAGCTGGGGGAGGCGAGAGAATACTGAATCCACCCCATCAAAAGGAACCCGCTCGCAAATTTGCTACCATAATGTTGCACGTCGAAAAAGAAACAGCTCTCTAAATGTTGCCAGGTCCACAGCATCCAGCGTGGAATCGATTCCCTTTTCTTTCTGTGGAATGCTCTTCCATCTGTGTGTGTGAGTACGAGTGTTGTGGGTGGGATCGTGTTTGTTCACAGAGCCATTGCTGTCAAAACAGATACTTTTTATTCATTTGCAAATCCCACCCCTCCCCCTGCTTTCATGTTACTGGAGTATGTTGGACGATTGACTTTGGACTTGAAAGGATTTTCTATTTCTGATGTGGCAGGCTAGTAAATTATTACAGGAAAGGTAATAGCAGGAGTGGGTTTCCAGCAATTGATGATTGTTTGGGAGAAGAATGAGCACCATTGCTGTGAAATCATGGTGGGTAAGACATCAGAAAGTGCTTAGAAAGCAGCCTGAGCTGAAGGAGAAGCCTTTCTTCACCAGTTTCTTTCACAGGATACGGTGTGCTGCTACAAAGTATGAACGGGGAACTCGCCGTGTCAGTGAAGAAAGGACACAGGTTGTCAATTGATATCTCTGGGAACACGGGCATTCAGTATTTATTTGATCCACATGGAAACATTTCAAACACTAAAGTTTCGTGAAAGGAATTCCAGTCAAGCTGCTAAGATTTCGGTGAATTCAAACAGAATCTCCCCAGATGTAAGGCTGCTGTTGGCTCATCTCCAGTCTCTGCAGGAACAATCCCGATAGATCACAGGCGGACAGTCTCTCAAAGGTTTTGGGTTTTTTTGTTCAGTTATTACAAGGAAAATGAAGCCTTTAAAAAATATATCAACCTGTTCTTAAATTACATCTTAAAACTCTTCATCTCTTGTAGCAAAAGTGGTATTAAGATAGAAATGAATTTTAAAAATAGATGTGGGGAAGAACAGTACACATGGGTATGAAATGAGCGGATGTTTTCTTTTTATAAAGGGATTGGGAATTTAGGACCGCGCATGATTCTCTGTAAACACAATGAGTGGGTTTTAAAATGTGTCAGATGATGCTGTTTATTTAATAGATATAAAAAAACACAGTTAATTGTATTGAAGCATTTGAGACACAGTCGATTTTTAAGTGTCAGCTGTCCGTCTTTGGATATGATTAGATGAAGTTGGTTCAAAACTCGAATCTTCAGAATTCTGGCAGCTTTAGCAGTGGGGTCCCCTGAGGAGTCATGTCACCAGTATTTAACGGTCTAGGTGCCCATGTCATAGTGACGCAAAGCTGCGCTCTAGCAGAATGGATTTATAATATCGGGAGAAGAACCAGATTCCATTGGAGTACTGTGGTTTTTCTTCAGTGTTGGCACACAGTACAGTCCTAGGAAAATCCATCCCTGTTTTTATTTGTTAAATGTTTCACTTTCTTCCATGAGGTGATGCTTTGTAAAGTAATAGGGGGCTTCACAGTGCTTCTCAGACATCATTTCGAATCTCTGGATTGCCATCAAAGGACTGTGCTATGCAGAATGTTGTTTTAAAGCCTCAATCCTGCCATTCAGCCTGGGTTGTGGTACAGAGAGGTCCTGGTATAGAGCGAAGGTGAACTTATTTTTAAAGCCTTGTGTTGACAGAATCCTGTCTTATCCAGGAAGAACGTTTTTCAGCTCTAGTTTTGTTCCACTGTTTCACACTTTTGTGGATTCTGACATTTGGACATCTTGTACACATCTGTTTTCCTTTAAAAAAAAACATCAAGACAGGTCTTCTGTGGTGCTACTTTGGTTAGCCATAGTGCACTTTGGTATTTTGACTACAGTTTTATGCAGACGTTTGGGCACCCCTGGCCAAATTACATGTTTTGATGATTTTCTAAGTGAAAAGAAGTTAATACTACTATATTTAAAGAAAATTTAAAAGTTCTAATCCTGTGCAGACATTCTTGCAACATACATTGACACTCTCCTCTGTCATTGAACAGAACAGCTTTAAAGAAGTCTGTCCCAGAGCTTTAAACACAGACCAGGTGCTGAAAAAATGAGTCGTTGAAGTATGTGAACCTTCATCTTTCTGTTTGTTTTCATGAGGAAATATTTCACTAGTCTTCTTAGCGTGGATGTAACTTGACTTATACAATTTAATCAGTGTGACTATAGTTTGTGGGGTAATGTATAGATACAGAGAAGTCTATCAATAAATTACTCCATATTTTTCAATTGTGACTTTATCTTTAAGGATGTAACAACTGTGTGGAGTTGATAGGAAATACCTGTGGCAATTTTAGAAGGGTATAATGCAAAGGATCCTGCGTCTGGTGTTTTTGTTACAGATTTTTAGCCAATGCTTAGTCTGATGGGTTTTTAAACATGTGAGCAATACAGATGACAGGCGCCTCTTTTAATTCCCATGCACCCTGTATTGACATACTATCTTCTCTTACATATTACTTTTCAGATTAAACAGGAATAGTGCTGACACCACAGAACATTTTATCTTCTCTCGTACATCTCAAAACTGCAGTCAGCATGTTGCATTATGTGGCCCCTGAGTACTCTTAAGCTAGTGCTAAGGGATCTTTCTGACTGGAACAGCATATTGATGATCTGAAAAAGACGGACATCTAACTTCTAACTGGATTCACTGATGTTTGCTTTGGATTGGGTTCCCTGCAGAACAATTGTTTCAAAACCATTTCCCTCTGTTTCTCATCACCAGAGAGTGGCTGAGCATTCTCTCTTATAAGGTCAACATAAGTTTCTGATCCACAAAACCAGGAAAGGGACAGAACGGTGCGAAATCTTCAGGGCATAGTGAGGACTTCAGCGATTTCACACAGCTCTTTTCTTCAGGGATTAGGGGTGTAGATCCACACCTAAACCCTTTGGAAATGTAATTTAAAAAAATAGTGTAAAAAAGATGTTCCATTTGCCATCTCCAGAAATGTTACTCTACAACAATTTTGTTTAAAGTAACTAAACTGCAGGTCTTTATGTGAGTCAGCCAGGTGTTGCCCTAGTTACCCAAGAGCACAGAGAGCTTCTGGAAAACCAGGATTCCTGTTAAAGCCTTTGAGACACACCAGAGGTGTGGTAATGTGTAAAACAAAGCCGTCTTCATTCTTCTGGGCATGTGTTGAATCACGACAGTAGCTTGTAGTGGGTCTTCAAGCTTTAAAATGAATTGGAGTTTCTTGTTTATGGGACCTCTGCATTGCTTACATGGGACAAGGATAAGTTTCCACTGGGTGTGGATTCTGAATACAGAATTCAGAAAAATGTTGAAAGTTTAAGCTACAAATGTCTTATTGGGAATAAAAAATGTCAGATTACAGTTAATCATATTGTGATTATATTTTTCAGGAAAGGCACTTTATTTAAAGTATATATATATAAATTTTAAAATGTACCAGCATTTTGTAATTTGTGTTTGTGTTACTATTGTAAAGGGATAACTCACAAAAATGCTGCATTTTATGTTTAAAATATTTTGTATGTTATGTAAGTATTGTTAGCATGGTGTATTTTGCTTTTTTAAGATTGGTATTAGATATATTTCTGTACAGTATTTATTGTTAATGATTGCTTGAGCTTTAGAAGAGATATTCGGATTATTCTATGACACTGAAGATGCACTACAATTGAAAGTGAATAAATACATCTCTAAAGGGATCTCTGCTATGGAAAAAGGGAATCCATTTGCATATACCACATCATGTCAATAAAATGTTTTATTAAATATAACTTTTAATTGTAGTTTTTTTTTTCTTTTTTGCAAATTAAAATTGTGCTGTGACAACAGTAATAAAGATGTCTGCCACACTTGTTTGCCTGCTGTCGCTGTTCTTCATGGGGAATGGCGTGGGTCCAGACCTGCAGTACGTTAAAACCAGCCAGTTTGTCCTACTTGATGGCCAGCCTGATTTGGCCCCCATCTTGACCCGATAAGCCCTTTGAAAGACACCAGTCTTTCCTCTTCCAGGTTTGGGACCATGTTGTATTGGCACGAGAGGAGTAAGGACGTGACAGGCCTTCCACCAAAACGGACAAGAGCCCAGCACACCCTGCAGCAAAGCAGATCTGCCTCAGGTGCCCAGTGAGCCATGGGGGCCACTGTTCAACTCAAAGGTTCCCAGCACTGCTCTCAGTTTCACGATTGCACCCGATTCTGTAATTTAGTACTAGGTGAATACAATGAACTACTTGGCTGCTTGTCAGCTTGTCTGCTCCGAAACATTGGAGGTTGCATTTCAGGAGTAAATTAACAATGACATTTACTTAGACAATCTTTACGCTCATTGCTGGAATTGGGAGATCTAAAGGTGTATCCAAACATTATTGAATCTGAATTTGCCAGAGCTTCTTGCAAGGGTTCTGATTGTTTCCCACTCATACCTTTAAGTTTGGGGAACATGTCAAAATCCTATGCCCACGGAGCCTCAGATATAGATAGTGGAAATGCTCAGTTGACACCCCAGGTAGGGTTAGGGTTAACATTCACACACTACAGAAATTTTATGCTCAGCCCCAGATTTTGGGGCCCAAGACAGCTTTAGGATTAGTGATTTTTTGCTCCAATCCGAAACATTTTTTTCAGATACTTTTGGCTGCCTGAGTGGCGCAGCACACCATCCGGTAATTGTATCCCAAAACAGTCTGCCAGATCAAAAGTTGTAACCAAACATCATTGAATCTAATGAATATGCAAGAGCTTTTATCAATTATTTTGATTGTTTCACACTCAGTTTTTAGTTTGGGGAACATGTCAATATCCGATGACTGGAGGGCTTCAGATATAGATTGCGGAACTGTACTGTTTAAATCTTGGCTAGGGATAGGGTAGTATTCCACCTCTATTTAGAGTAATTTTACACTTGATGCTGGGTTTTGGGACCCAAACCAGCTTCAGAATGAGTCATCATTTGCTCGTATCTTCACCTATATTTTTCTGATACTTCTGGCTGCTTGTATTGTATATTGCACAGTCCAGTAATTTAATCCCAAAATTGCCAGAAATAAAAAGTTTTGAGAGACCCCTATTGTAATAGTTAAATGCTCTTTGTTGTGTCCTTTAAGTAGCAGCTAGAAGTATAACTGTAGTCAGCATCTAAAGATTTTTGTAACCCTAACCCTATTCTGGCTTAAAATGGATGCTTGTGTAAATACCATTTTAACAGCATTTGTCACCTGAAAAGTTTCCTAAAGAAGATACATTTTTGAAGCCAATGAATTTCCAACAAGTGTCATCAATGAATTTGATTGTTTTTAGGCTCATATTTTTCAGTTTGGGGAACATTTTGAAATTAGATGAGCGAAGGGCCTTGTAGACAGATTACGGAAGTGCTCCGTTGAAACTCTGGCTAGGGTGAGGGTTAGCACTCTACCTCTACTTAGAGAAATGTTACACTTGATTATTGGTTTTTGGGGTCCAAATCAGTTTTCCGAATGAGTCACGATTTGCTCCTATCTTCACTTTTATTTTTCTGAATCATCTGGCAGCTCGAATTGTATATTGCACCGTTCAGTAATTGTATCCCAAAACTGAGTCAGATGAAAAGTTTATAGAAACCCTGTTCTAATAGGTTAATTTAAAATGCAACCAGAAGTATAACTGCAGTCAGCATTTAATAGTTTTAATACTTTTAACCGTAACACTACACTGGCCTTCTACTTGGCTGGTGTGAAACCCAGCTGGGGTGTGGGCCTCCAAGGCAGTTGAAACCCTCCCATTTCAACTGTCTATATGGAATAATAACTGGAGACTCCTGGTCACAAACTACTAATGCTTCAGGCCAGAACCAGTGGTGTCTGGGTTGTTAGCTCATGGGCTCAGCCTCTGTATTCCAAGTCAGCAGCTTTATTGGTTGAGATATGGAGCAAGACTGTATTTGATCCTTTTAATGGAAATATTTTTCAGCCTACAAGACAGATAAAACTTTTTAGAATATCACAAAAATATCTAAGATAAAAGATCTAAGATTTTTGATAATTGAATTTAATCAGAGCTCTGTCCTTATCCTCTAGAGCAGCATTGCATAAAATAAAAATTCATATTGACAGGAACGTAAAATGAAAATAAAATGATTGATTAAAACCAGACTTCTGTCAGGAGGATAGAATTTATTAGAGTGCACATCAGCCAAGACTTTGAATTGGTTTTCCATTCTCTGTATCTTAACCAGTACTGTTCAGGATATTCATTTGATCTTTGAGTGTAGTAATCCTGTACACATGTGGTAACGTCACTATTTTAGTTAGAATGTAGGTTTGGCATCTGACTTTAAGACAAAAGATTTTTAAGATCAACTGGTTGTGCCTCTTAATTACAGTATTACGTAAGCTAGCAAAACAGTTTTACAAAATGACCTGTACTTTGTGTACTCTAGTGGAGCCTTTATTGTGTGATGCAATTTTAAAACAGTTCAGTATGGAGGAGTAAAAGATTGTAAAAGCCTCTGAGAATGTTATCTACCTTCACAAACTGCTGTGACAGATATGTATGAACCTTTCCTTTTTTACAAACTTTCTTCACAGGGTTAAATATTTGTACACAGGAAATGTTAGAGTAAAAGTAATCACCACTAATATGAATCATTGATGAGCTCAGAAGTCCTTTGGAGTCTATCATAAAATAGCTGTAAGACTATGTCACAGACATCTGGCCAGTAACAAACTAATTGCCTACACATTGAACACTTCTAGAATACGATGGCCAGGATACAGGCTACATGTCTTCCAAATCAGGTGTTGATCTTGTAGTGCCAAAGAAACACTCTGAAAAAAAGTTTAAAAGGCCACTTTAGAATAATGTACATTTCTTTGGCAATCCTGCAGAAAGCCTTACAAATCAGAGGAGCAGTCAACACTTCCGATGTTGTTCCTCTGTCTGTATCGGCTGTGCTGTATTTAACTACTGCGCAGAGTTTCTTCTTATAGAACTGCAGCACCCTCTCATTCACTGCCTGCCAGTTCTGTGTAAACGTTGGCAGTCATGTTACCCACTTAACAGTACTTGCTCTTGTGTGGTACTTCAGAATATGTCCTGGTTTTCCAGTTCTCTCTGTGGTCCTGTACTATTTTTAATTATTTCAAAGCAAGGCTCACGGTGTTTTTCAAGTGTTGGATACCTTCAGAATGTTTTACAAGTCTCTTCCTCATAATATTGTTTTTCACCAATTGAATTGGCAGGCTGAGGTTATGCGGGCTGAAACTTAAAAAAACTTATTTATTGCATGTTCTGTTTTATTGCTCCCAGGATTAACTCAGAGCCATATTCCCAAAGGTGAAAGGCAGAGGTCAGACAGAGATAACTACCTGTGTCCATGACTGTTTTTATTGAAAACACTCTACATTTGAAAAGCAGCTGGACTCTTGAAGAATTTTCTTTGTTTTCCAGTAGAATGAATAAAAACAAAGGTGTCTGAAAGTGGGTTATACAACAGTAGTAAAACATTTTTGCTGTGGAAAAAAAGGGTTTTAAAAGATGTACTGTAGCAAGAAAATCTGTAGGGTTGATTTGTTATTTATAGAACAAAATCAATCTCATACGTCAGTGATTTTAAGAATTAATATACACAAAGAATTGAGTGATAATTGATAAAACAATTCAATTCATCTAGAGTATACAGGATTTCGTCATATTTACAACTATCTGATCCCACATGTACAGTACCCTCTTAATTAAAGATAAACTCTTCCTGGTCATATTCATGTGGACTGTTTAACTCTTGGTCGCTGGTATTTCAAATAGGGCACCACTAAAGAAACTAATAACATAACACACCCCAGGTGATCTGTTCTAAACTCACCACGGAAAAATCCATTACTGGTCAATAAACATAGGGCATTATTGTCTAATTGGGCAGATGTTGATCTATATTTAATGAATTAAATTTTTAGATGATACAAAAATGAGTGGTAAATGCAGTAACAACGGGAATTTCAAAAAGACTTGGAGTGGGCAGATAGGAAAATGATGTCTCTCACGTGGGTCTGTCCAGCAGGACAGAAGGGTCTGGCAGTAAATGTAGATTCTCCTACGTTCTTATCAAGACAGTGCAGGGAATCACTAAAAAGAAAGCAGAATTCTTAGAGTACCTAGGAGAAAAGAAAGAATGATTTCTGGTCTCAGGATTAGCTCATATAGAAGTGTAATACAGGTTGATCCAAGTATATAAAACCCCAAGGGGCTCACAGAGTGACTACCTGACAGTAGGGAAACAGTGATGCAGTACTGTATGTGCCCCAGGTAGAAACTGATTTAGGACAGAGAGCAGGAAGGGTCTCGAGAACAGGCGTCCCGGCCAGGTACTTTGGGCCCAGACTTTGGACCTCCAGGAATCGGCTGGGCAAAATTTTAGATTGACTCAGCAGCTAAACTACCAGACAAGCAAGGTGGGGCAAATGCCCTCCTCTGATCTGCAAACGGTGTGATGTCTTTTGTGTTGTTTTGTGTTGTGTTTTTAGTGAGCAACTATTTTTTGCCACACTAAGGACATATTCTTAACTGCTGAATCATTAAGCTATCATCCGTATTATTTAATGATAAAGAGTACA